TTAAGAACACTGCTTTTGGGGGCTGGAGAGATGGCTCAGAGGTTAAGAGCACTGGGAGGGTCTGAGTTCAATTCCCAGCAACCACATGGCGGCTCACAACCATCTGTAATGAGATCTGGTGCCCTCTTCTGGCTTGCATGAATACATGCAGGTAGAAAGCTGTATACAGAGTAATAAATACATCTAAAAAAAAAACAAAAAAAAAAAACAACACTGCTTTTCCAAAGGCTCCAGGTTCAATTCCCTGCACCAAAAGTACCCAGGCTCACAACTATCTGTAATTCCAGGCCCAGGGGACATGATTCCTTCTTCTGGCCTCCAGTTGCAAAGCAAACAAGTGATGCACAGACATACAGGAAAGCAAAATATTGCAAATACATTAATGGCTAGGCTTAAAGGCATGCACTGTGGGGACACCAGACCTTGAGCAGAGACCCACTTCCCCTTCAGCCTGGGAGTAGGCAGCTGTAAGACAATGTTTACTAAAAACAATACAATGCCCGGGGCAATAAGTTCCTGGAAAAGGCCTGCCCACAGAAACCACCCTGACCTGGACCTTGTCAAAAGACTAACTGCACCTTCAGACCCACCCACATCCACCTCTGGTGTCAGAGCAGAACCAGCCAGGGTGGAGGAGAGAGCAGAAGCTTTTCTGGAGGGAGCCTTTCTTAGGAAGTTTTCTTGAACCTTTTTGGGGCCTACTTAAAGTTTTCTTTATATCGTTGAACGAGTCTCTGTGTTGTCAATCCCCGACACCCTCCGCACGTTCTCAGACACAGGCTGCAAGGCAGACGCAACAATGCACCACCACTTCTAGCCTCAATAATTTCTTTTTTTTTTTTAATTTTATTTTCCAGTTTAAATTTAGATAAGAATCAAGGTTGCTTCACAAGTCAGTTCCAGGTCCCTCTCCCATTCCCTCCCTTCCTCCCGTGCCCTCCCCTCCCCCCCCTCAATAATTTCTTTTATACTCTCCAGAAGATATATTTTTTTTTTGGAGACAGTATTTCTCGGTATAGCTTTGGAGCTTGTCCTAGAACTCGCTCTGTAGACCAGGCTGGCCTCAAACTCACAGAGATCCACCTGCCTCTGCCTCCAGAGTGCTGGGACTAAAGGTGTATACCACCACCCCAACCAACAAAGATACTTAATATTACAAGAGGGAAACAGTAACTTCAGAGATAAGAAACATCAATTGCCAGAGAAAAGAGATCTCCTTAGCAAGTTCTTTTAAAAAATATTTTAACTTATTTGTGTTTGTGTGTCCATTAATACATGCTATGGTCCTCCTTTGGAACAACTTTCAGAAATTGTTTCTATCCTAATGCTATGTGGGTCCTAGAGATGTAACTCAGATCATCAGGTCAGGCTTGGTAGCCAGTGCCTTTGTCCCCTACGCCATCTTGCCAGCATCAACAGTACTTCTCAATATGATACAAAGACAAGGGCACAAATTCTCCTCCATATGTCCTTGAAAAAAATACATGACCTCCATTAATTCTATATGTCCTTGAAAAAATACATGACCTCCATTAATTCTATATGTCCTTGAGAAAAATACTTGTTTTTGTTTGTTTGTTTGTTTTTCAAGACAGGGATTCTCTGTATTGTGAGCCTGTCCTGGAACTCGTTCTGTAGGCCGGGCTGGTCTCGAACTCACAGAGATCCACCTGCCTCTGCCTCCCGAGTGCTGGGATTAAATGTATACGCCACCAACGCCTGGCAATTTGTTACAGATTTATTTATTTGGGGCCCAGCCATGGTGGCCCATGTTTTTAATCCCAGCACTCCTCAGGAGGCAGAGGCAGGAAGATCTCTCTGAGTTCCAAGTGTTGTTTTGCTGCAGCTGTGGGCGATGAAACACAACCACGAAACTCAGTAAAACCCACGTGCAGTTTAGCGGGAAAGAGAACAAAGGGGGAGTAGGGGATAGGTGTTGCCAACCAGGAACAGAGATAGAAGGGGAAGAGAAAGGAAGGGGGTAAACAGATGGAAGGTGCTCGCTTAAAAGGGAAAGTTTGCACATGTGTACAGAGTCCTTACCAGTCACATAACACACGATGCCTAACATAGCCATGCAACACAGGGCCCTTTGAGCTGCCTAAGTATCTGTCCGAATGCTGGTGTGCATACCTTGCCAGGGCGCAGGGTCAACCTAAAGCCTGAATCCTTACACCAGGTTAACCGGATCTATAGAGCGAGTTCCAAGTCAGGCTCCAAAGCTACACAGAGAAACCCTGTCTTGAAAAACAAACAAACAAACAGAAAGATTTACTTATTTTATTGTGTGTGGGTGTGTGTGCGCGCGCTTGCGCTTGAGTATATATACGTGCCCACCGTGTGTGCGTGCTTGAAGGCCAGAAGAGGGCCAGGGAATGGAGTTGGTGATTGTTGTGAGTCATCATGTGTGTGCTGGGGATCAAAACCTGGTCCTATGGAAAAGTAGCCAGTGCTCCTAATCACTGTACCATCTGTCCAGCCACTACTATTCTTTTTGTTTTGTTTTTGTTTTGTTTTGTTTTTGGTTTTTCGAGACAGGGTTTCTCTGTGATGTTTTGGAGGCTGTCCTGGAACCCGCTCTGTAGGCCAGACTGGGCTGGTCTCGAACTCACAGAGATCCGCCTGCCTCTGCCTCCCGAGTGCTGGGATTATGGGATTAAAGGTGTGTGCCACCAATGCCGGGCACCACTACTATTCTTTTCCTTTTATCAAAAACTTTGAAGGCAGGTATAGTGGTCATGACTTTAATCCCAGTGTGAGAGCCAAAGTTACATTTAAGTTTTGATTACTGGATGTGAGGTCGATCTGGCTGCGACACCTGTCACCCCATTGATCGCCAGGGTTGATTCGGCTGATCTGGCTGGCTAGGCGGGTGTCCCCTTCCTCCCTCACCGCTCCATGTGCATCCCTCCCGAAGCTGTGCGCTCGGTCGAAGAGGACGACCTTCCCTGAATAGAGGAGGACCCATCTTCGGTCAAGGGTACACAAGTAGCTACGTTCCCCTGCTAGAACCTCCAAACAAGCTCTCAAGTTTTGATTAGTATGTCTTAGAGATCTATGAAACAAAAATGCCTCTGATCTGCAAGCCCTTTACCCAAGGACAGATAGTTCCTGAAATGCTGGAGGCTGTTGTTTATGGGAGATAGCAATTCACATATTTTTCATTCTCCTAAGTAAGTTTGACCCATCTGCACTGGATGGGCTGGACCACTTGTGGGCAGGAGGTTCACAATGCAGAAAATACTTTAGGATGTACACTTCCCCCATTGGATGTAGGCTGGAGGTATATCAGGGTGTATGCTTGCCCCTGATTGGATCTGATGAGAAATGCAATGAATTATGGGTTTTCCTTCTTAAGCCACTGCAGCCTGTGATTCTGAGCTATTTTCCATTATCTTGGGTATGGACCTGGCCAGAGGCCATCCACCTGGCCAGTATTTAATTAAAAGTTGCTTCAAATTTGGCTTTGCCCAGCACTTGGGAGGCAGAGGCAGGCGGATCTCTGTGGGTTCTAGACCCGCCTGGTCTACAAGAGCTAGTTCCAGGACAGCCTCCAAATCCACAGAGACACCCCATCTCGAAAAACCAAAAAAAAAAAAAAATGGCTTTGAACTGTGGTGGTTTTATTCTCAATCCGTGTGATTAACATCCAGTACTTGGGATTAACACCCAAGCAGATCTTTGTGATTTTGAAGCCAGCCTGCTCTACATAGTGAGTTCCAGAACAGCCAGAGCTACATAGTGAAACCCTGTATTGAAACAATAATATGCCGGGCGTTGGTGGCGCACGCCTTTAATCCCAGCACTCGGGAGGCAGAGGCAGGCGGATCTCTGAGTTCGAGGCCAGCCTGGACTACCAAGTGAGTTCCAGGACAGCCTCCAAAGCCACAGAGAAACCCTGTCTCAAAAAACCAAAAAAAGAAATAATAATAATAAAGTCAGACAGTGGTGGCGCACACCTTTAGTCCCAGCACTTGGGAGGCAGAGGCAGGTGGATCTCTGTGTGTTCGAGGCCAGCCTGATCTACAGAGTGAGTTCCAGAACAGCCTCCAAAGCTACACAGAGGAAAACCTGTCCCCCCCCCCAAAAAAAGACAAAACAAAATTGAAAAATTAAAAATTAAATAAATAAATAAAAACTTTGGGTTCCCAAGCCAGTGAGAAGGTTCAGAGGGTAAAAGTGCTTTCTGGGCTAGTCTGGTGACCTGGGTTTAATCCCCAGGATATCCATATAAAGATGGAAGGAGAAAACCAACTGTACAAAGTTAATCCCCTGACATCCAAGTGGCTGCAGCACTTCCACCACACCCATTCCACACACACACTAAGACAAGGGCCTGGAGAGATGGCTCAGAGGTTAAGAGCACTGGCTGCGCTGGGCGTTGGTGGCACACGCCTTTAATCCCAGCACTCGGGAGGCAGAGGCAGGCGGATCTCTGTGAGTTCGAGGCCAGCCTGGTCTACCGAGCTAGTTCCAGGACAGCCTCCAAAACAATACGGAGAAACCCTGTCTCGAAAAAAAAAAAAAATGCTCTTCCAGAGGTCCTGAGTTCAATTCTTAGCAACCACATGGTGGCTCACAACCATCTGTAATGGGATCTAGTGCCCTTTTCTGGCCTGCAGGCATATACACAGGCAGAACACTGTACACATAATAAATAAATAAATCTTTTTTAAAAATTTAAAACAAAAAAAAACACTTTACGGCCTTTCCCTTGTATCTATTTGTTCAATAACCAATATACACATACATACATACATGGGGGATTGAGATGAGGTTTCTGTGTGTAGCCCTGGATGTCCTGGAACTCACTCTGCCTCCCAAGTGCTGGGATTCAAGAGGTGTGCCACCACCGCCCAGCATTCCTTTATATTGTGTTTGTAACTTTCAGTGATATTCTCTTTTATTTCTGATGCCTTCTGTATATGTGGGTCTCAAATTTGGGTCATACAAAGATTATTTGGAAAATGCAAATAACTCAAGAGGCCTGCCTCCCACCCTACAGAAAATCTGTTTAATTAGTCTAGGGGGCAGCCTGGGCTTTCAGAGTTTTTAAAACATTTGACATAATTACAGTATGTAGCCAAGTCTGAGAAGCATTGCACTGAGCAATGGAATCTTCTGTCATAGAGACAATAGAAGTGAGATTGGTCCAAATGTGCAAGAAGTTTCATGGAACTTTGGCCCACGAGCAGGAAGGACACAGCATTGACTAAAGAGATCAGACATCTCCCTGAACAAAGACAGGCACAAGCTTCTGTTGATTTGCTGGGGTGGGCTAACAGGCCAGCCTCATCTTGCCTGGAGAACTTCAGGTGCTTAAACTGGTACAGCTGCAGAAAAAAAAAAAAAACCATGAGGCTGAGATCAAAGAGAACATAAGCCAAGCTTTTAATAGTGAGCAAGCTAAGCAAGGGGCCTCATAGTTTATTTGCCTCTGTCCCCTTGTGACAGAACCAAACTTTCTCAAAATAATGTATTATCTAAAGAGGTGTCCAGAAGCTCTGGATATCAGACAGACTAGTGAGAAGTGTGGGAACCATCAGCATATTGGTGATAACCGAAACCAAGGGAGGGGACCTCGGTTTAGGAGGTGTGCCAAGAAATAGCTGAGATGAGGGAAAGAAAGAATTGAGATAACAGGGAATTATAGAGATGTTTCTGAGGTGGCAAGGAAGAAGTTGGAGAGATTTGCATGGAAGCTGGGGATGAGAGTCAGGTAGCCCAGGGTCCCACCTCCTTATTCGGTCTGGCTGCCTTTCAACTTCAATTTTTTTCTCCTTTTCTTTTCTAGACAGGGTTTCTCTGTGTAACAGTCCTGGCTGTCCTGGAATTTGCTTTGTAGACCAGGCTGGCCTCTGCCTCCCAAGTGCTGGGATTAAATGCGGGCACCACCACTACCTGGCTGGCTGTCAACTCTAATTTCCCCCTTATTTACTCCCAATAATTGGCCTGTGACTAAGCGCAGGGTTAGTAATCCTTGTCAATGAAGGACTATAAAAACAACTTTCCACATTATCAGTGAGTATGAGGTTCCTAGGGGAAAATTTGTTTGCCAGTGTGTGCTAGGCCAGGTATTTTTCCCGAGACCAGTCACTTTCTTAGCTGGCCCTGTTCTACCTGATGCCACCAGCCAGCCTTGGCTTGCCAGATCTCCTTCTGAGCTTCTTTTTTCTTTTCCAACCTTTAGGTGTTTGTCCTGGGGGGTGGGGAGGACAACAACACAACAACTGTTGGCCAGTGGTCAGCAGCTGGACCTTTGAAAGACAAAACTAGGTTCCCAGCCCCACTCTCCTCCCAGGCCCCACCCCCGGGATGCTACAGAGAGAAAGGAGTAACTGTGTCACTTTTGGCTTCTCACTGCTCATCTTGCTCTTAAATTGGAGGCCTCTGGGGCCGAGAGAAACTGGACACAGTGTGCCGACTAGTCTAATAGGACGGGTTCTTTTTTCTGAAAGTCCCCTATTGCGGAAAAATAAAATTATGTGTTTAATTTCTGAAACCTAATGCCTCATTTGCCTTGGCAGCCATTCTGCCGGGCTTGGCTGAAAGTCTGGCAACACAAGTAGACTGATTAATACCAGCTCAACTTGCTCCCTGGAGAAGAGTGTTATTTACTTGACTATTTTCTTAAATCCTCTTTAATTTGCTTGTATTTCAGTATAATCATATTGGTTTTTTAGCATGTTCTGTTTCTGACCATGGGCCCCAACAAGGCCCAGGAGAACTCCCTGCCCTGTCCCCTTCACAAAGCAAGATTTTGTTCAACCCAGTGATTAGAAATGGCACATCACGTGTTCCGTTCGTTCTGGGATGGGCAAGTTCTAAGTGTACTCTCATCTCCTGCTAGTCCTCCATCCCTGGCAGAAAAAGGAAAGAGATGAGGCTTCTCAACAGGGCTTCTGTACTCTGCCGTCCTCCCTTCCAACCTGAGTTCCCTTCAGATGGTGACACCCCCAACCCCCACCCCCACCATCCATCCTGACCCTCCCTTGTGAAGCCCCCAGGGATATCAAATATCAAGCGTTGGAGGGAGACACGCAGGACCATGGAAAGACTGGGCCCCAGATTTCCCCAACAGGGAAGTGTAAACACAGCTGTGGAGACAGGCGAGAAGCACCCTCCCTTCCCCCAGTTCCCACCCAGAAGCAGGGAAAGGCTGCTCTGCAGTGAGGAACCAAACAGGAAAACAAAGCAAAGCACAACCTAAACGCCTGCAAGAAGGTCACCAGAAACTGGGGCTGCTGCCCAGGACGTGGTGTGACCAGTGGAACAGCCAGACCCCTCCCTGAATGCTTAGGGACCAATACAGTTCCAAAGCGAGTGGAGGTCTGGACATTATGGAGCCAGGAACCATGGCTTGATTTTCGAAGCCTTTCCACCGCCGGACACTTTGTCCTCTGATCTCAGAAAACTCACTTTCTGCCTTAGGTACTTTAGCCTTTGGTCCCTGGTGGCTTAGGGATCATAAGAATGCAGTTGATTCAGCAAGCAAGAGCAAGCCCACAATAAACCCTTGTCCAGGGCAGTTAGAAACTTCAACTCTGAGCTTCCAAGCCAAAACATAAACAGGGCTCCTCAGCCTTTGTTAATTACAAAATAAATAATTCCAGCAGGAAGAGATTGCCTCTTTGGGAGACTACTTGGTGGGTGCAGGGGTCAGGCCCTGATCTGTTGTACTCTACAGGATCCAACCCACAGCTAGGGTGATGCTACCCACCTCACGCTGAGTTCAGCTCAGGGAATGCAGGGCCTTGATCTCTCAGGATGCACCTTTGACACAGCCCTGCCTGGGAAGTTGCTCTGGTCAGCAGGACAGCTAACGAGCTGTGCTTCCTTTCTGGCCATCAGGAGCCTCAACTGTAAAAGTGAAATTGCAGAATTAGAGAAAAACAAAAATGACAACAGTCTATAAATATCAAGCTTTCATCATGTGCCTGGCCTTATGCTAAGTGCTTTCTTTACAAGGATGGTCTCATTTCATATACAGTCAGGGACATTCTTTGTTTCTCAAGACAGGGTTTTTCTGTGTAGCCCTGGCTGTTCTGGAACTCACTCTGTAGACCAGGCTGGCCTCGAACTCAGAGATCTACCTACCTCTGCGTGCTGAGTGAGTGCTGGGATTAAAGGCATGCACCACCACAACCGCTTGGAGGTTTAGTCAGGGATATTCTTATCCTTGTTGTATAGCTGAGGAAACTAGGGCTTTATATGATTCTAGAACTTTATCCCAGGTTATGCAGCTATAAAGTAGCGTGGCCAGGATTTGTGCCTTCATTCTGCCTCCTCAGGCCATCCTCTAAATCTCCTCCCTCCTCTGAGGTCTTCTAGCTCTGACATCAGGATTCTGGATTCACTCCCTGGCTTTCTGCTCTTACTGGTGGCGCCAGAAACTGAATCTATTAGGGGCTCCAGTCTGTTTGTCCGGAGGGAAATAGCTGAAAGTTAAGGGACTCTCACTTCCTCTGTACTAAAGATGCCAATCAAAGCTAGACACTCTGCAGACCCCTGTATCAGCAGGGAACAGTTTCTGTGGAAGACAAAGAAATCCTAGCCAGGCAGGAAAGGGGTGTTCCCCTTGGCTGGGTAACTTCCCCTTTCTCGTTTCTGGTTTATCTGCTTATCAGATCACCCCACTGATAGTGTGATAGTACTGGTCCTTTGTAAAACACTGAGGTTAAGATGGGTCACCTAGCTATAGATCTCTTTCACAACAAGTATGCACATCTATACATGATATTATACATAAATGAATAAAAACAGAATACATAAATCAGACCTGGTAGTGGAGTGTCTGTAATCCCAGTATAAGAAAATAAGGTATAAGACTTGCAGCTTGGTAGTGGTAGCTCACACCTTTAATCCCAGTACACAGGATGCAGAGGCAGGCAGATCTCTGAGTTTGAGGCCAGCCTGGTCTACACAGTGAGTTCAAGGACAGTCAGAGCTACATAGTGAGAGCCTGTCTCAAAATCCTTCCTCTATAAAAGAAAGAGTACATACTAATCCTTCAGATGACCAGAGTTCAGTTCCCAGCACCCACATCAGGTGGTTCACAACAGCCTGTAACAGTAGCCCCAGGGATCTGACTTCCTCTCTGGCATCCCTAGGCATTTGTACTCACATGCACATACCCAAACACACACACACACACACACACACACACACACACACACACACACACACACACAGAGCAGGGGATAAATCACATTTATTTAAACACTTAACAGGTGTTATAGTGAATGTGAATCTATATAATCCTTGCAAAATACCTAAAAAAAAAAAAAGTATTATTATCCCCATTTTACAGAAAAGGACACTAAACACGGAAAAATTGCCACATTGTCCATGGTAAGAAGGAGAGCTGAAATTCCAACCCAGATTAAACCTAACTGACTCCAAAATCTGCATTCTTTACAATAAAAGGGTTATTAAAGAATGAAGACACAATTATGAGACTGGAGAGACCCCAAACTATCTTAGAAATATAGTTGTCATATTGATATCTTACATGATACACATGGGTAACTGCTTTTTAATTTCTTTAAAACCTTGCCATTTATGAATTTGTTTAATGAGAGAGGGTCATGTGTATCGCCATCTGGCCTTGGACTTTCTATGTCACAGAAAATGACCTTGAATTTCTGACCTTCCTGCCTCCACTTCCCCAGTGCTGGGATCACAGGTGTGTGCCACCACACCTGCTTTATCTGGGGCTGGAGATCACACCTAAGTCTTGCTGTACGCTAGTAAGTACTCAGTCGACTGAACTGCATCCCTAGTAACTGCTAGTCAGATCCACGCATGTTCACACAGTCCAAGGCATTTGGCCAAATGCTTTACATGTGTTATCTGTACTGAGCAGTGAGGGCCATCAAATCATCCTGTCTGGCAGATGTGAAACACACTTGGAGGGATTAGATGTCTTTAGAAAAAGGCCCTACACAGCTAAATAAGCAATAGAGCTGGGATACAAAGAACATGCTCACAACAACAAAGGCAATAACAGCAGTGGCAATAATAATACACATTGACTATGGGCAAATTCTGCTCTAAGTGTTTTAGGTCTTACAACTTGTTCATACTTTCCCCTGTGTTAGTCACTTCTGCACTGATGTGACCATAATACTTGATAGAATCATTTTAAGGAAATAGGTATGTTACTTGGTCCATAGTTTCACAGTTTCAGTCCATCACAGCAGAAAAGGAAGAGCACAGAGACAGAGCAGCCCAGTCCATGGTGGCTGGACCACGTGGCAGAGGCTGTTGACCTTATGGTACACCAAGAAGCAGAGAAAACCATAGAAACCATGGGCAGGGGTCATATATAACATGCAAAAGTTCTCCATTAGTAATCTACTTCTTTGATGATGTTTCTAGAGAGGTCTAACTGAGCTATTCTGAATGTGTGTGGCCTTGTGTGTGGACTTTTCTTTCCCACCATCCAGTTCCCAGATAATCACACAGGAACTTATCATTAATTACAAATGCTTGGCCAATAGCTCAGGCTTGTTACTAGATAACTCTTACTTTTTAAATTAATCCATATTTCTTATCTAAGCTCTACCATATAACTCGGTACCTTTTTTTCTCTTCTTTTTCTTTCTTTCTTTTCTTTTTTTGTCCCCCCCCCCTTTTTGCTTGTTACCTCCCATCTTGCTTCCCTGGTGGCTCTCAGTACCTGTTTTCAATATGGCAAGTTCATTTCCTGCTTCCTGGGCATCTCCTCATATCTCCTTCTTCTCTCTTTGCCTGTCCTGTCTAGCCTCTACCTGTCAAGTTATTGTCCAGGCAGTCTCTTTATTAAACCAGTCACAGTGACATGTGTTGGCACAGTGTAAAGGAATACTCCACCTGGGTTCTAAGAGTGAAGAAACAGAGAGGAAGGGAAAAGGAGAAAGTTGAGCACCAGCATTCATTTCTCCCTGTTTTCAGAATCCCCCAAAGGTGTGCCACCAGCTTGGAGTCAGGTGTTCAAAATGTAGCCCTGTGAGGGACATTTCTTATTCAAGCAGCAACACCTCCGATATGACTTATTCTTCTCATTGCTATAACCTAACATTTAACAAAATGCATGCATGTCTCGGTGGATACGTATTCTAAACTGATTTTTGCCTCTCTCCACTCAGGAGAGAAGATTAAAGATGTTATTTCTCATTGCCTGCAGGCCTTTGCCTACATGGGCGTTCCCAATGCCCTAAAAACGGACAATGGCCCTGCCTATGCCAGCAATCGCTTTGCTGCCTTTTGCAGGGAACATCACATTGTCCATTCTTTTGGTATTCCTCACAACCCCACGGGACAGGCTATTGTGGAGCGCACCCATGCCACTCTCAAACAGTATTTTAAGAAAATAAAAAAGGGGGAGTATGTTACCTCCCCCAATATTCAGTTATCCACATTTTTAATTTTTTGACCATAGATAGTAATAATTTGTCTGCTATGGAGAGACATTGGAACAAACCCTCCCAGTCTTTGGGATGGGTCAGATGGAAAGACTTGATTACAGGAAAATGACAGCCACCCACTCCCCTACTAGCTAGGGTCCGAGGGGCTGTTTGTGTTTTCCCTCCAGGAAGTGAGAAGCCCATTTGGGTCCCCGAACAGTGCGTCAGGCATGTCGACCCCAATACTACTCCAGATATTAGGAATGCTCACCATGATAAAGATGGTCCAACCATCGCTGAACACTCAGGTAAGGGAAGTATGGGCGCTGGTAAGGATCCTCCCCATTTTGATGCCAGTTAGTCATTCTAGCTCCCTGTTCATCGATTTTTATAGCACCAATAATACATTGGGAGCGGCTGCTGCCAATGAGAGATTAAAAAGTCAGAAACTAAACATTCTGAGTTTCCCCATCCTAAAGGGGAATCTCTGTTTTATGAAAAATATTTAATGTCTCCTAGACAAAGGTCAGGAAAGAAAGGAGAACCTGAGAGATCACCCTCAATTAGAGGGTGGATTGTGTAAATCTTAAGGCTTTTGCCTGAGGGAACATCCTCAGTTGGAGGATGGATTGAAAACGGGTGAATAGCTGGGCGTTGGTGGCACATGCCTTTAATCCCAGCACGCCTTTAATCCCAGCACTTGGGAGGCACAGGCAGGCTGATCTCTTGAGTTCAAGGCCAGCCTTGTCTACAGAGCAAGTTCCAGGACAGCCTCCAAACAATAAAGAGAAACCCTGTCTTGAAAAAAAAAAATATGGGTGAATCAAAAAAAAATGGTAACAGTAAACGAGGTGCTGGTATTAAGTAAAGAAAAAGGAAAAGACCAAGGTATATGGAATGGAAAAAGTTTGTTTGCATTTAAGTTCTATGTTGTGAGTCATCTCTAAAAACTATTGGCTAAAAGCCTGGCCTCTCCACCTTGCATCTACAGAGTTTCAAGGAGTAGGTACAGCTGTACCCCTTGACTGTAGCTCAAATGGAGGAATGATGAGAGGCATACAGGACTTTTTAACGTTTTTAGTTCAAGGATTGGCTTGAGTTGTTCTTTTACATAGATTTCAATTAAGGAAGTTTCATTTCAACAGACTAATCATGACCTAGGGAAAAAGGATGACCGAAAGATGTATTTATGGCCACACCGGTATATATGAAATGTGATTGTGAATGCGTGAGTGTGAACAGCTTATATGATTAAAAGGATATTTAACTCCCTTAAAAAATAGTTAAAAAGCTACCTAAATTGCTTTAGATATAGCCAAAAGCAATATCCAGCCAGTCGGTTAATGTCTTAACAGAAAAGTTAAGATGCAAATGAGGCCTTGTCAGCTAGTCAGTGATCTGCCGGTTAGATTGGGAAAGACTGCTCACAGACTTCAAATAATTTTCAAAAGTCATTTGGGACACAATACAATTTACAATCTTTGAGTGATTTTCAGAAGTTTTTGGGAAATACTTAATGGATATGTCCTTTTTAAAGGGCATCTACTAATAATCTAGATACTGATCCAAATTCATCTAGATAGTTAACTAAGGAGGGTAGACAAATCCTTCTACTGTTATGGTCCAGCTTCAACAGTTCAAACAAAATTTAGAAAATAAAAAAGGGGGAGTAATGTCCCCAGTCCCCACATGACTCATCAAATAATACACTCCTCAGTCTGGCGGTGATGGCACACGCCTTTAGTCCCAGCACTCAGGAGGCAGAGGCAGGCAGATCTCTGTGAGTTTGAGGCTGAGCTGGACCGACAGCTTCCAAAACAATACAGAGAAACCCTGTCTCGTAAAAACCAAAAAAAAATATTTCAATAATACACTCTTCATTAAAAAATTTTTAAAAATGTGAATGCCAGTGAGCAACCTGCTTCACACAGATTCTGGCATGATGGAACTTGAGCAACTATTGCTCAGGTCAAATGGAGACATCCATG